GTTGTTGTTGCTGTTGCTGTTGTTGTAGTCGTGGTGGTAGTAGTAGTAGTAGTAGTAGTAGTAGTAGTAGTAGTAGTAATAGTAGTAGTAGTAGTAGCAGCAGCAGTAGCAGCAGTAGCAGCAGCAGTGATAGTAGTAGCAGCAGCAGCAGCAGCCCGGGAATAGTAGTACTCTTCGTCGTAAGCTGCAAGAGTATTGGCACTAGTACAGTAGAAGCAAGCAGCCGCCCAAACCTTCAAAACCGTTAAGCTCGCTTTAAACCTACAGCCCAAGCAGTTGAACCCTGCGATCTACAAAGCACGGGCTTTTGTTGGCCCGGGTTCCTCACACGTCCGTGCAAACACCATGATACCTTCTGTCGTTCAGGGTTCAGAACTTGGTCCCTGAGCTATTTGCACACGAAGCATTAGTAGCGCTCTTGTGGCTTGCTAGCCGTATTCGCATGGCATTACAGAACTCAGAACTGAGGCGCCTGTCGCCCTCTTTCTTCAGGCCTTTGGTTTTGGCTCGAATGGGGATTTGGGTTTGCGGGTGTCGGGTGGTAGATCGGTCTCCAAGTCTTGTGCTTCAAGCTGATTGATATTCCAGTTCTTGAAGCTGTCACCCGAATCCATTTGTTTTCAAGCACAAGTGACTCAAGTGTAAGGCCCGGTGTCTTTCATCCCAAGTGGTTCGTGCTGTCGTTCTTCTTGTGTATGTGGTTAGATGAGTTTTTCGACCTCAATCTCTACCATGTTGCGCTGTTGCGGTCGTCATTTCGGGGTGTGACCACTGCAGCCACCAGTGCCACCTCAGGGTTTGGGATTGGTTCTCTGGTTCAAGCCTGGGATTCAGAGTTAATGCATTCGTCCATTGCGGACTGTCCTGACGCAACTACTTCGGGGTTATTTGTGCAAAGAATTGCGCTTTTTTCTGCCCGACGGCGGCCCCGTTTGTATGCTGTGCAATATAGCACTCTTTGAGAAACTGTCGGCACAGACAACCGGTAGACTGCCGACTTCATCTTGATATATTGTAGTGGGGTTTTGAAGCAGACACCAAGCTGAGGAGGCATGGGCGGTTGACGCGGCATGCAGACAAAACTGGGTGCAGAATGCTTGCGAAGTGAGAGTGTGATCAGTGATCATACCATACTAGTACAAAAAAATAGAATTGAGGCATTGCACCTGATGCACCCAAGCCGCCTTAAGCAGCGCCGGTCTGGTCTCATCAGCAACATGAAGCGGGACTTGCCAACCCGTGTCGGCAATGTGTCCAACAACCATATTCTCATTGCCTAGCTCCCGAGGTTCAACGCCACCTCTCGATCAACCAAGGTTCACCAGCCAGATTACTCGAGCCTTCGACCCTAAGCCCCGTCAGGTCTGCGGAGAAGGTCGAATCTGTGCAGGCAACGCCTTGGGGCAGCCGCTGTGAAGATGCTTGTGGGATTTGTATTATGTGACGTTGGGCGTAGTCTGGAGTTTGTGGCTTCGGACGAGCTATGGCGTTCGGATTCTCGGGTGCTCTGAGCAAATAAACACCCCCCCGACTTCAGGCCGTCAAACCCAACACACTGTTTCCCAGTCTCTGGCCTGGCAGCCGGGCAGAGACAGGACCTCGATGTAGCCAAGCCTGAAGCTGTACAGAGTCTACCAGAAACCGTCTAAACAGGCTTGAGGTGTGACTTGCAGACAAACGAACCCCTGAAGACTGGCAGGTGCTGCAGGCAAAGCTGGCTGCAGCATATGAAGCGGCATCAGCCGCACCCCCAAAGCCATGATTCAGGAATCAGGAGAGTTAGCAGGCTTAAAGTTTAGTCCGAGTGGGTTTGGGGTTTCGGGTTCGGCATCAATGACGAACGGGAGATGTGCACGCAAGGTTTCCAGGACCTCACTTGCAGACACCTACTTGTGAACAAAATCGACATTCGCCAGGATGTGTTCATTCACTTGTTCATTGTCATTTTGAATGAGCACCGATTTCTAAGGAGTAATACGGGTTTCCAAGAGTCGCGGCTTTTGCTGCTTTACATTGCTTTACACCCCATCAATCCCAAAGATTTGGTTCAGGGTCTCATCTAGCCTGAAACCCAATTCTGAGCCCAGCAGCATTCGTTGGCAGCCGAGGTCCAGGATCTCTCGCCGGAGGTTGCCGTGAGCATGCTGCGCAAGAGGCGGCTGGAGCAGCGTTGAGCGAGGGTTTCGGGTTTAGCAGATTTAGAGTCAGCCTATCAGGCCAACGGGAGTTCTCTCGGGAGGTTCGGATTATCGCCCAAGTTCCCAAGACAATGCCTTCCCCTCAAGGCCCTCAGGGCCCTCATAGGCCCTCAGCCCTCCGCGGCGCCAGCTTGGCCGTACAGCTTTCATTCGCGCCCAAGGCAAGCCCAACCC